GGCTGCGCAGAGGCAGTCGCGACGCTTCGCAAACAGCTGCTCTAGCGGTGGCGGCGCGTTAAGGAGCGGGGCTCAGCCGGCCGCTGGGATGCAGGGGAAAGACGGGCAGCCCTGTCCTGCCCTGATCCAGCACTGGTGAGTGAGCGCAGCGCCCTGCGCCCGCCGGAGAGTCTGTCCCAACTCTGTCCCTCCGTGTTGCATGGCCATAGAGTGGTGTCTGCACTGTGATGTCCTGTCAGCTGTTGCATACCCGTGTTTCCACAGCCATCACCGCGTTTACCGATGACCCTTACACCAAGGAGTGCTGCGGTCCCTTCGGGGTCCTGGGCCTGCCTGCGTGGCAGAGCCGCGGGCAAGGCAGAGCGCAGGCTGGGTCGGTGCGTCTACACGGCACGGCACAGGCACGGGTTCCAGCTCGGATCCCAAATGCTGCATAGCTGCATTAGCACAATCAAGCACCTGAGCTGATCAGACCTGTTTCTCAAGAGGATCCTTAGCCTGGGCTCAGAACCACGCTGGCATGGTTACCTCTCTCCCAGTGGGGAGTCTCCTCCCTGCGCTCCACCACACACCGCATACACGTTCACAAAATGTCATAGTAGCGCAGAGGGGTTTTGCAAGGGTTTGTTTCATGCGACGCACTGATACAGTCGGGTTCTGACCTGTCTTTTTGCTGAGTTGCGACAGGGACTTTTTCACTTACTCCAAAATGTTGCCCCAAAGTGCCTCAGAGTAACGCTAGGATCTTGTGGCTCCTGGGGTGGTGCTGTCATATGCTCCCTGTATAGCAACCAAAGCGGTTTCTATTTTAAGAAGAAAAGAGTGATTAAAGTGTTTGCCTAGGCAGGTATTTCAGTCTGCTTTGATTCCCATGTGACTTGCGGCAAGTCACATAGCCCCCCCCCGTGCTTCACTTCCCTACCAGCAACATAAGGAAAATAATATTTTCAGGGATGATAATGCTTTCCTACCCCACAGGCATATTGTGAGAATGAATGTGAAAAGCGCTCTGAGGTGAACGGACATTACAGCAAGTGTTAGACATAGGTTATAATGGAAGATGGAGAACTGAACACTACAAATGTGATTATCCTTCAAAACAGGATAAATGGAAAATCCACAGAAAATAAACATGCGAGGCAGTCTGCTGAAGTGGGGAAGGGATGCCACAGTAGAAACAGCAAGGAGTGAACTTTGCATTTGTAAAGGTGTTCCTTCAGCACATCCCATGTACGATGTTTTTTCCAAACTTTTACATGTCTGATGTCAGTGACTTAAAGAAACAATAAAGCAGTACCCTATGTTTGTATGGAAAAGCTGCCTTACGTATCAAGTGAACTGTTATTTTTGGCAATCAGGCATACCATTTACAACTGGGAAAAATCTTTATTCCCTGTGACAAGTATATTTGGACGATTCTGTAAATTAAATCAATCAACCAAAATTTACTGGGTTCATATATCATGATTTAAATTGCTATAGCAGTATCAAGCAGGAGACAACATCATTTAAAAAAAAAAAATTAAGCACCTGAAGCCAGTATTTCAACTGGTATCTAAGTTGATCCCAGTTTACTGCCATTAAAATTGGAGCTATGTGAAGTTACACTCCCCTGAATCTAGGCATCAGAACATCTTATTTTTTATTTTATTTTATATTTTAGTCTAAATCGGTATTACACACACTCATAGAGAGGGAATTTGTCATTAGTTCCGACACCTGTCTGTTACTGATTACTGCAAATACCTCTGAACTGCAGAAAAGTTTTGTACAACTGCTGAACAAGATCTTAACACATCCTTTCTGGATGTTGGATCAGATCAAGAAATCTGAAAATTGATGATGAGATATTTCAGTGTGTACTGAGTGATGTGCTTAAGGTAGCAATAACAAATGAATGAGAAGTCCATCTGTGTAACTTTTGTTTCATGCGCACAATTTCTCCAACATTTGCATTTAGCTGCATGTCTAATGGTAGTCTGGCAGAAAACGTAAAAATTTCAAGCAATCCTATGCCTACTCTGCTCAAACATTTTTTTTGATCAATAATAAATGGATATTGAAGGCCATAAGATTAAAACACTTGACTCGAGGATTTTTTTGTTTGGCTGGTTTTTACAAGATGTATTTCAATAAGATACTGCTAGATGTACAGACTTCAATATTTGTTCGTTTTTCTAGGTAGCATCCAGTGCTTTGCTGCTGTGATATGCATAGCTTTTCTTAAATCAGTGGGATATTCCTGTGTTTATAGTTAAATTGTGTTTAAATGCTTCACTGCATCAAGATCATTAAAATGCTTTATGGCCCAGAGGACTAAGAGTAAATGAGCTCAGATCTACTGAGAACTGGGTGCCTGGTTACTGTATAACCTCGCGGTACAGTTAGGAGGGACACCCCGCAGAGCGGTGGCATTGTTTAAAAAAAACCAACGGGGAAACTACGAGTTTGAGGAACGGATTGCAGGACAGGGCATTCAGTGTCTGCACAGGATTTTGACTACAGAAGTCATCATAATGATACCCAGCTTTAATATCGTGCTTTTTACAGTTTTTACAGGCATGTGAGAACTTAAACAAGGAGGTAGATATCATTATCTCTGTCTTCCCTATAGGGAAATTGAGTCATTAGACATGGAAATAACTTCTCCAAAGTCATCAGGATCAAAGATTGAGCAAGGAATTAAAATCAGACCTTCTGAATTCCAGTCTAGTGGCATTGCTGCTCAGCAACCCAGCTTCTCTTAAAACTATTTTTTTTCTAATTTGTAGTTTCTGAAGCACCGTGCTATAAATAGAACACACATACTGTGACAATGTTTGCTCTCTGCTTTTAGGCAGTGCTTTCATATGTTTCTAAAGCACAAACATGCTTTGCATTTTGAGGTCTCGGAGGCTAGTCCTATCGCTTCTTTACAATTCATATTTGACTATTTTGTTTCAATAACCCTATTTTTCTCTTTCTGTTTGTACAGCATATTGCACCGGATTTCATCAGCAATTGCAGAATTCTTTTCATACATCAGCCTTTAGTTTTCAGTGAGGATTTTAGGTTCCCAAGGAATTCAGGCTCAGGCCACGCTCATTCATGCCATCTTTATAGTTAAAAATATTTATTTGTTTTATATAGGGTGGAATAGTTGGATTTGATTGAGGCTACCATTTTTTTCATTAATTTAATTTCTGTCAGCGGACAAAGCTACTGAGCCAGGTGCTGGTCTCACTTACAGTAAGATATCTAAAATGTCTTTCTGAAGCTATTTAACAGAGCTACCCTGCTGCAACATCTGTCAGTCTGGCTGGCTATGTCTAAAAATTAAAAACAGAATCTATATTCTTACCACAGAAGAATTTACTTACAACATAAAGTGTGGTCACTTAGATTTGAAGACAAATTAATAAAAGTCTCAGTTTTGCTAAACTATGCTGACGTCTAACACATTTTATTTAGGTTTCTGGCTGTCAATGCTTTTAACTGAAAATCACCTTACCACTAGTAATCTGCTGTCATGAAATATTTTTGTTTCATTCTCTAGCCAATACTTGCTTAAGCTTTATGATAATCCTGTAGATCTTACTTTTTTATTCATTGACTGATGATGTCTGAGACCAGTAGACAGATTGGGGACAAGAAGTTTGTCTCTGTCCTGCCAAACCAGTTCTATGGGTCAACAGCAGATCTCAGTTTCAAGGCTGTCAACCTTGCCTTTTTCAAGAGTAAAAGGCAGTTTTTACGTTTCATTCTTTTGTATTGATTTTTACTTGCATTTATTCCATAAGCAATATTTGAACTCAAAGATCAGAGCTGTCAGTGTAATCTTAAACTTTACTTAAAGGTTCACTTAAAGCAGAAGGATTAAGTAATTTCAGTGCCAGATATAAACTATTAAATAATTCAATGTGTACTTTTTCAACAGACATAAATTATTGACCAGAAAATGGCCCAGCGAAGCCCAATCTTCCCAACTCTTGCCCCTTCTGAAAGGTACAGTTTGGAATGTAAAAAATAAAATCTTCATATTGCAGAGTATTATGTGTCTCTCAATTCCCTATATATAGTAATGCTGTGACTTGGGACTTTGGGATTAGTATGCAAAGCAAAGTGAAATACTGTAGACTCATTCAAATCAAGGTCCAAATCACAATTCCTTACTCAGCTTTTACTTAACCCTTTCCCAAAGAAATTAAATAGCTTAAACTGTAACTGAGTAGAAGTCCAAGAATACTACACTTTAGCCAGTCTTCTGATAGCATGGAATAAGTGTGAAAAATCAGAGCCAGAAGTGACCTTTGTTGGAGTCCTCAAACATCTCTATCAATATTATCACAGTGAAAGTAAACTCTTAATTTGGCTCATTAACAGGAAACAACATGGAGAACACACAGTAAACCACAGAGTTCCAAAAAAAGATCTCCTCTTTCAAAGCAGGGTTGAACTTGTATCTTCCACTTATACTTCTGAAAATTTTCTTTATTCTTTACAGAATATAGCAGCAGGAAAAGATTGCATGCATTAGCAGCCTAATTTCTTTTTACTTTGAGCACCCATGTGCTTTGCCCCATCCCTGGAAACATTCCAGGTCAGGTTGGACGGGGCTCTGAGCAACCTGATCTAGTTGACGATGTCCCTGCTCAGTGCAGGGGTCTTGGACTAGATGACCTTTAAAGGTCCCTTCCAACCCACACTATCCTATAGTTCTATGAGCTCCATTGCTTTCCATGGAAGCTATGCAGTGCAGAGCTCTCTTGAAAAATCTAGACAATTATTCGAGGTACCCAAATGTAAGCTATTCTGGGGGAAAATTTGACTTCTAAGACTATGAGAAGCTTGTCATAATTTTGCTTCTCCTCAGTTCCTACACCTACATATGCTCCTGTCCAGTTCATGGGGGAACAAACTTCTGTATGGTATTACAGGATAGCTATAGAGACTGAAAAAAGGAATGGACACAAGCTACTCCTTTTTAATCTCAGTCTGTTTCCATTTAATTTGCAGTATCTCCCTTCTACAGTTACTGGTTTGAGTAAGCCTGAAAACTGTAGAGACAAATAGCATTACTTCTGAAACTCAATAAAAGGATTTTGAATTTGGATCCTTAATCAAATTATAGTTCTGAATTGTAACTACTTTTATAATGCTAATGTCCTTTTCTTAAGATCTTATGCTTTTGTTAGCTTCCTTAAAGAGTAGGAAAAAGAGCCTGACCTGCCTTTGTACAAGATACATGCAGTAGCAAACACAGCACCCACATATTTGTAGCAGTGGGCCCTCTCCCTCTGAGTACTTTGGTGCTTCTCCCCAGTATTGCTACTAAGATAGTATCGCACTGTCTCCAGTGGAAAGACATTGCAGAGTTTTGTGTGAGAACTTAACAATATCTGGATATTCTTCTTTACTAGACGGGTTCGAAATATACCGCTGCATAGCCAGGCATTGACAGCGGTCCCGTTGGCATCTGCAAGCCTGGTGGATCAGCTGGAAGACAGAATCCTAAGCCATGAGAAAACAACGGCGGCTCTTGTGGAACACGCTTTTCGCATTAAGGAGGACATTGTTTCCACTCTGCACAGAATGCAGAACAAAGGGGGGGGCGACCGGTTGGCTAGGCAACTCTTGGAAGAACATATCCGAAACATAACGGCAATAGTGAGGCAGCTCAATCGGGACATTGAGGTACGTTAAGAATTTTTCACAGGACAAATGCCGTCTCAGCTACTTACTCCTTCTAATTTAATAAGTAAGTTTACCACAGGATAAGTAAAGGTCAGACAAGGTCCGAAGATCCTTAAGCTTATAAATTGTTTTTATAACTTGAAAAACTGTTTGCAAATTACATAATTCTTTCAGTGGCTATGAAAATAGCACAGGATATTAGCATATACACACAGAAACCTTTGTGGTACTAATAAGCTTGCTTTCAAAAGCTGCACTGGAAAACCTTGAAAAAATGTATTAATACGACACTAATACCTAGCTCAACTTCATCCAAAGGCTGTGCTGTATAAAAACTAGGAAATGCCTTAGCTCTATAATGAACTTTCTTTCACTTCCGACTTACTGACGACACCAAGTAACCAAACCCAACTGTTCATTTTTATGACATAATCATATGCAGATATGTGACTTCACGTCTGACCTCTGCTGCAATGAGCAACAGGGTTGTGGTGGCAAAAACAAAAGGATAAAAATTAATATTTAAGTCTCCATTCCATTGTCAAGTTATACTTTATACATATTATGGTATTTATGCGCAGATTGGACACTAAGAATAAGAAATAATAAATGACCTAAAGGTATCTGGTTTAGTACGATACAAGACAAAGCTTTTAATAAAGTAATAATAAAATGGTATCTGATGTCACTGAAATACTGAAAAATAACGAGTGACATCTTAAGTGTACATTAAATGTGACATACTGAGTTTATATTTGCATATGAATGCTTTGTAGATGCTGCAGGAACAGATACGTGTCAGAGACAATCTCAGCTATGGAACAAATTCTACCCTCAAGAGTCTGGAAATGCGGCAGCTTTCTGGTTTAGGAGATCTTCGGGGAAGAGTTGCAAGGTAAAAGTCAACACAGTATACTTTGGAGACTAGCTAATGTTGTTTTAATCTTGAAGTATAAATGTTAATGATAATGGGCTGAATTCAACTTTGGCAAAATTCCCAGGATAATTTTGCTCGGTGTGAGCAAATAATGAATAATAATACTTTGCATTCCAGTATTACATATTAAACTATGACATATCACCCTTAATTCCTGAAATTCCTGAAATTAGTTTTTAATAAATTACCTCAAATTCCTTAGGAATTTGGATTTGGTTCAGCTTTAAAAAATACTATGGTTAGACTGGTCTATCTTTGAAACAAATGAATTAACACAATTATAAGGGCAGCACGGAACAATCTGCACTTGTAAAGAACAGAATAGTTGCACATTTTTGCATATATTTTAGAAGTAAAAATCTGTGCATTCAGTTATTGGTTAGCCATGTTAAAAACTACATAGGCTACCTCACACGTAAGGAACAGAAAACTGTAAAATAATAGAGGTTTTACAGGCTACTTGAAACTCCAGGTTACAATTGTGCAACTACTCAGATTTCAGGTTGTGCCATTAACGACACATTTACAAACCCCAGTACAACAAGATTTGCTTAAGTGTCTGTAAAGTTGAACACAAAAGACAAAGGATACATTCAGCTATAGAAAAAGGACCTAATCTGGCCTCAAGTAGCTTGGCTAATAACTTCGGTGGAATTATACTTGTCCTGAATTTGACCTATCGTCTATATTGTACAGATAATTTTTCTTTTTTTTTTGTACTTCAACTGATTTAGTGGTAACCTTCAACAGCCTACGAAAATAATCAGGGAGGGATTTTCCTTGAATTAAAGTTTTCTCATAAATTGTTTGATTGTTTGAAGTTTCCACTGTAACTTTCATAGCCCATTTTGTAAAGAATAGTTTAGAGAGGTTTTACATACTCTTTTTTTTTTAAAGTTATGCACTATTATTTGGTAAACAGGAATGAACTAGACAAGCGTATTTTGTCACATCAGAAAATTGATTGAAATAAATATGTAGAGAGATATATACACACATATCTCTCTCTCTCTCTCACTGAGAAATCCCTGACAAATTTACATGCTTAAATCTTCCTGCTTCTTTATACAGAAAGTCCACTTTGAGATCATACTACATCCTGAGAGAGGTCCATATTTGGAGCAACACAGTTACTGACACTTGTGAAACAAAAAATAGTGCCTTTGCTTTCAAGAACAGAACTCAAGTGAATAAACACGTGCCAGCATGAGCTTCACAATGGGGCCCCTTGCCTGTCCCAAGTACTTGGTATGGGGATCGGTGGTGGACTAGCACAGTCTGTACCAGGATTTCTTCCTTTATTTACTTAGGGCAACGCCCTTGTACTGTGCCTGGGTTGCAATTTATCTGATAATTGTATGAGATTATACCAATCTGCCTTATGTCAGACTGTGCAATGAATGTTGGATATTTGTATTCATTACCATAAGAGAACCAGTTTATTGTCTTTTAACTGTTACCTTCTATTCAGCGTTATGCTTTCTACATAAAATTTTTCCCTGAATAAGGAAGAAAATAAGCTTCCCTTTATCAGAAATCAAGTTAAAGCTGTGTTCCATGGGAGAAAGCTATTTGCCTTTATTTACAGACATATTCTACTTTGAAAATTAGTGTTCCTGTGAATAATGATTATAGTACTATCTGGAGATCATGGTCAAGATGGCAGTTCGTTATGCTGTTGGCACTATACAGATACTTACCAGAAACTCTCCCTGGGATAAACACTTTCTGATTACTCTAGCCAATGTTCCTTACATAAATAAGCTGAACTCACCTAATATAATTTTACTTTTATATCTAGTCCTGCTAGCTTTCAGATGAGTTCAAAGAGTGAAACCTCAGAAACATGATCAAGTTACTGTGGGTTACCGACTTACTGTGCATCAGCTCTCAGCCACAGTCAAGGTACTATGTATGGGTCAGGCTGTAGTGACAGTAGGCTAATTTAACTCCAAGTACATCATGTTTGCTCTAGGCTAGAAGTGTGCAAATGGACAATCAGTGTGAATCAGTTTATGTATGCCGCGTGACAGCAAATCACCCAAATCTTAGCCTTTTGGTCCTATAATAATTTTAGTGTCGATCTCAGGATTCTGGCCAAATTTCAGTTCCACTATTTACATGCATACTAAGCATCCTATTCAACTTCAATATTGGAGAGAGTGGTGTTTATTTCCTAACACCAACTGTTCTGTAACATGTCAATATATCATCGAACAACTGTTTCATTATTTCTTGAGGGTTGCTGCTTTTAGTGGTGAGAACAGGGATCCTACACGCACACGCAGTTCTGAAGCACAGCTCCAACACCATGCTATCCACAGCTCTGGAGGAGTGAGAATCGGACGGACCTCACAGTTGAGCTCACCTGCATCACAGAATCAGCTAATATCCCTAGCAGGAGAAGACTGAATACATATTACAGCTCATGTCTCTGGGCCATTTCTCATTAAGCATAATTTATTGATGAATTTGTAAATCATCATTACAGTGTGCACCATGAGTGATGCTGTACATTTTCCTAAGAATCAGCATTATTATTAACTTTAACAGAAATATTACCTCTGTTAAATTCAGTGACATGTTCAGCAGAAAATTAGATAGATGCCAATAGATCCATTACTCCAGCCTCCTGTCCCTGATGTTGGCAATTTTATACAACACAGATTTACCAATTCTATTTCTAGTTCTATTAGATCATAAAACTCATGAGTAGTGGCTTATCATTTATTTACAGAATAACTTGTGGACTATGATAATTTATCTGGAAAGTTTAAATACAGCAGCCTGGTCAGAACCATAGCAGTAGCTGTCTCTAGAAGCTTCCTGATAGCTGAAACATCCAGAGAAATGGCAACTATGCATGTTCAACTTGTGCCTACTTTGCATATATAGATGATTTTTTATATACATTACAGATCTGATTCATTTCAGACACCGTGGACTCATTACATGTAGGCAGATTTTCCTACACGGCACAGAAAATGAGTATGATGCATCTGGGATGCACTGCATTTATGAACTTCATAAGTACAATAAATCTGCTGCACTCTGGCTGCTTGCTGTGTATGAGATGCACACAGTGAGGACTGATCTAGGCTATTCAGAATCTACCAGCTCTACTGTTCTTGCCCAGTGGATTCTCTGGACATATCAACTTGCTTTTCACTGCTTGTTCTTCAGCTACTTGTTTTTCACTGAAACACTGGTATTTTAATTGAAACATCTCCTGTTATAATGAAACAGGAACATTAAAAACCTGTATGTACCATTATAGCATATTTATTAGCATCCTGTTTTGGAGTATTGGCGTAGTCCTCAGCTTTATCTAGTCCCTGGTGATACTGAATAGAGCAACCATTGTGTTTTGATTTCTTAGAGATTGAAGACAAAAATACTCTTCAGTGTGCCAGAAAAATAACTACTGCTTTTGCTTACTATGACTTGAAAGGCAGTTGTTTGATAATTTCACTGTTTATATTAAACGTTACTGGTTTCTAGAATTATACTGTATTCTGAAACTGAGAATAATACTTGGCACTATGAAATCTCTCCATTTATTCTTCATTTACTAATTTCACATAAGTACACAGCTTGGCAATCAGAAATTTCAGAAAGTGTCCCCCAAAATCAAACAGCAGTAAACTGAACACATTCTAGTGCATCTTTGGCCCAAATTTCAACAGTGCATGTTGCACATGAAAAACTGCACTGGGCTGTTTGTATGGCCAGCTTCAGCATTTCAGATGTGAAGACAGAGAATTATTTATTGTGCATTTCTTCATACAAAATGGTTCTATATACAGCTCTTATATTTTTAAACTAGTATTCTTTCTAAAAATCTTAATCTATTTCTCATTTCTTTCCCGTGCTTTTAAGATGACCAAACCTCGAAAGTTGTTTTCAACTTCTGTCCTTACATCCATAGTCCACTGGCTCCATTTATATAGTCAGTCTGATTAAATTACCCAGGAACTTAAATCCAGTGTTCAGAAACAATTAGTTCTATTTTTAAGAAGAATTCTATTGTCATTTTAACATGAATCTATAAAGAAGTAACAAAGAAGAACTTTCAGAGGTATGGGAAATTCAGCGAGGAGTGTAGTGTGCCTTTTTTTCCCCCTCCTTTTTTTTTTTTTTTAAAACAGGGAAAAATTCCAAACTATAATATGCCCTTTTGTTTAGATTGCTGATTTTCTTCGGACCCATCATGCAGTAGAAACCTGAATCAAAACTGTTAGAAAGCCCATGGTTTTCCATATGTTCATCTTATTATTCCCTCCCCCCCATTTAAAAGCTAGTGGAAGCATGGAGTAAAGTTATTTAATTGTTTTAAGTTTTTAACTCAAAATGTATACTCACGTAACTAATATCAGAATCTCATTCTTTGCCTGCAGCACACTAATGTTTTCTTTCAGGTCAAAACTAATCAGGTGTTTGTGAGTGTGTACAATATATATAGCAAAAAGACTTCTCTTTGACCACTTCAATATATGGAATATTGTTTTAAAAAAACATAGCAGGATAAACATTCCATAACTACAGACAATAGAATTTAAACTTTATTCCAACTTTGTTTAAAAGGGTGCCAATTACAGTATCCCTGTAGAAAAACAAAATAATGTGATTAATACATACCAGGCTGACACTAAATTAACATAGTCAGAATGTTAATGTTTCAGTTACCATGCAACTATATGACCTCTTTGATCACGTAACTGAGTTCCACAAAGAAGAGAGATGCACTGTGATTAAACCCAAAACACTAATTTGCCTTAAAAACAATTACAGATGCTGGCTGTTTACATTTGCTACAGTAGGTTCAAAGCTGTTGCTTTTTATATTTTCTGTTGTGCCTCAGAGAAACAAAACTAACCATTTTTTTGAGCCCATAGGCTTTTGGTGACTAGATGCAAGATGATTTCATTCTTCTAATTCTCTCCGATTGATCGTAAGAACATGGAGAGATTTGGCTTCTCTCGTCTTTCTAAAGCCCGACTGTAAGACCTACAAGCATGGTTCACTGCTATGTAAACCTTGGCTGGTCTTCCTACAGATATTACTAATTGGTCTCACAATGCTGAACTGCTAAACTATAAATTAATTTCCACAAGTTTTATAATTCCTATGTGTTATTTTGCATTACTGATTATTTTCATATTGAAATAATACCATAATACTAAGCAGATGCTCTGTTTGCCATTTTAGTACTTACATTCCCTTCATGTTTAATGATAATGGTAGTTACTGTAACCGAGGTGATGAAAATGCATGTTGAAATGAAAGCCTTTGAACTGAAATGTGACTAAAAAGAGGTTAAAACGTGTCATTGGTTTAATGACTGAATGTGCCTTAGCTTGTCCATTTTACTGCCTTTTTCTCCCTCAAATTGTAACTGCTGTCTGTTCTCCAGCAGTTTCATAGATCAAATTTGGTAACAGTGCCGATTACATATTTCCCTTAGCAAAAAAACATACACGACATACTTCACAGAGGTCTTACTCCTGAAATTACAGTACTTGTATTTTTACAGCTCAGTTAATGTCCTTACTGTATTACTGTAGATGAAATCCACCTGACCAAAGTATTTTTGAAATGTGGTAGAAAATGCACATATACTATAGCACATTTATCCTGAAAGTGTTACAGCATCAAGAAATGTTCCAATGTGAAGAAAGGAAACAATAATAATTATGTTCTAGGACTGCATTTCGTAGTCTCTCGTGAGACAAAACTGCCATTGCTTTCAATTACAGTTTTACCTAAATAAAAACTAGTAACTAAAATTTGCCTGACACGTGTTTACTACACATATTAATTGTATATTACTATTTCACAAATTAAAAAGAAAAGAAGAATGTAAAACTCAGAGGAACAGAGCTACAATAATGACAAAATGGTCCTGAATTATTTTATTTGGGCTTCTAATCATGTAGGCGAAATCATACACACCTTAACAGATGTCATTTGGAGTATGACAAAAATACGAGGTATTGGAATTCTGCATCTTTGCATTTCTAATGTGATTTCCCTGACTGATAACAACACAGTCTACACATATTATGTCAGTGCCAAGAAAACAGGGATGTATGTATCAGACTATTTGACTTCTAGTCCCATTTGGGAGCAGTTTGCGGAATACTGTGAGATATATCACCATTCTTACAGTCTTATAAGACATTGTTTTGCTAGACAGCCAGCAATTTCACAGAAATGCCCAGTCTAAAATGCATAATTTAAAAAGCCTGGATCTTATGTTTATTTAGCTGTTGCGTTGGTATTTATTTATTCAAACAGGTGTGATGCTGGGTTAGCCAGACTCTCTGCAGAGCATAAAATTACGTATGAAAGACTTCAGAGCCTAAGTAAAGACCAACACACCTCCAAGCTGATCTTAGAATCTAAAATCAAAGAGGCAGAAATACAGGTATGGTATTTGGACCAAAGTGATCCATGTATGGGTAAGAGTTACAGTCTAATTCATACAGACTCCATTACTGTTAATTATTATCCTGGGAGGTCACAGATTTACAAATGGAGAGGTGTATCTGCTCACAGTCCTTATTAGATTGAATATTGGTACCTAGCTGCATTACTGTACTGGTCTAACTGAAGAAAGGTCCTTAATTTGCTGCCTTTAGCATGCTGTGTAGAATAGGCTAGTATTTAGAGGCACCCGAAAGGACTCCAGGAACGAACAAAAGTCAGCGATTACTGGCCTGAATGGCTTCTTGAGGTTGGAATGTGAACATGACATGGATGCTCTACAAAACTACCACAACAATGCAAGCATCAGTGTCTCTCCCTGTATGTTTTGGCCTTCCCAGGCTGATTTTATACGTATTTGAACACAATTTTTGGAGGTCTGCAAAACAAAACTGGTTTGGGGTTTTGTGAATCCATTAATCTGTCTGTCAGGTTTCTCTTCCATTGGGTGTGAGAATGGAAGTGAGCACTAGATACAAGCAGAGACTTATGACATTAAGGAAAAGGATTCTTCATATCTCCATGTCTAGGCCTTCCCACTTTCTTGGGCAACAAAAGTATTTTACATCTTCATTTTGTGGTAGGTAAATGGTTAAAATCCGCTTTACCTTTCTCAGAAGACTCAATATAGTATATTAGCATGCTAAGAGCATATTGTCATGAATCTTGTAAAACAGAACAGTATGTTTTGCAAAACTGGCATGATTGTTTTGGTGAGAAATATTTTCTGTTAGTAATGACCTATCCCCAGCTAAATCCAGCACTTTTATCACTGCAGTAGCCATTTCACATGAAGTGCTGAAGAGTATCACTCAGTATTGGTGGAGTGCTTCGCCATTCATTTACTCTGCTTATGTGACAACATGGAGACATATGGATCGTGCAAATTCAGCTGTCTTAAGGGGGGGAGCAGGCAGACACTTTCAAGGCAAGACTGTTCAAATTATTTATGGCTGAAAAATTACAGTTTTCACGATGTTGATACTTTCATCTTGCGAGAGAGTGTATTTTTCATGATAAAGTAAAATGCGCAAATTCCATAGTTTTTGAAATGTCAGCAAAACTGGCCCTTCATCTCCTCCACTGTATGAAAACGTCCCAAATGAGACTGTGATGAAATGCTGTTGAAAAATAGTAAATTCTGAATTTTGTTTCAGATTTCTCATCTTCTGAGCAGAGTAGAGCAATCAATAATGCAACAAGAAGCAAAGCTGAAGGTTGCCTACAAAGAGAGCAACCAACAGCTCCACCTTCTGGATATGAAGTGAGTGCCCGGGAAACCTTTCTGCTGCCATGTGCCTTGGAAGGCCGGGCCTCAATTTTCCAAGTTAGAGTGTTGTAATCTTCAGGTCTACAAAAGCATGAACCTGTTCAGATATGTATGCATGCTCAACAGATATTACAAAAGCACAATGGTCTGTCAAGTGGGACTCGCTTTCAACAATTATTCTGCCCCTAATGTGGTTAGGCAATTTTGAAAAGCCCATTAAGTCCCTAGTTAAGTATTCAGGCAGAACTTGTAGTAAAGAACACAACTAAGGATTTCGGTAAGAGTGGTCTGGCACCTTTTTGCAAGAACTGCAGGAAGCGACGAATGCTGGAGGTGGCTGTTGAGAGCAGGGCAAAAAGTTCAACTCAAGCAACCAGGAAGCAAGGCACAGCATTCACAAAGTGTTATTGCTTTAAATTGGCTTCAAATAGGGATATATAACTCAAATACCAAAATTATTAATAAGCTACTGTGCTACTACTAGACATTATATAGGGATCTATTCAATTCAGATATTAACTCCTCTCCAGGCATTTCACTCAGTGGCAGTCCTGGCTTAAGCCGGCCACATCCCTACTGCTTATTGCCATCCTCATGCAATCCCATCAGTTACATCAGTAAAACTATTTGCAAACCAGATGAAAGAATAGGTCCAGATTTCAAATATTCACTCGAAAAAAGACTGTCTAAAGACACAGTTTCACTGGCACAATTGGTTGGTATAAACTTGAGGTGGGTATAGGCAACGTAAGTGGGGCTATATGAACCAGCCTTGCCACTAAAATAAATGGTTACCAAATCTTTGTTCAGATTTAAGACCTGTGGACATGAAGATTATAATCTGAATGGATGACCATATTCTGTTTTCAGTGCTGCAAAGAATTTGCATCTACTATGCCTCAAAACGTTGTGATGTGTTTCGTATAAATAACTGCTATTTTGTTGTGCTCTTCCGTCTTTATTTTCTAAAACAATGTTACCTTATCCAGTTTAGTAGTCTTAAAGTTCAAAGATTTACTTTGATATGGTGTCAAGAATGTATTAAATTGTCATTAATTTTTTTTAATGAACTTGATCATAAAAAAAGTCACTGCTGAATGACCAAAAGTTCTGCTCTTTTGTATCTGCTAATTTCTATTATGCTCTTAGATTAAAAAATGCTATTGAGGAACTCAGCAGCCAGATTTTGTCTGCACGTAGCTGGCTGGAACAGGAACATGAAAGGATTGAAAAAGAGCTTGTGCAAAAAATTGACCAACTCTCATTGACTTTTAAGGAAAACACTGTAAGTTTCATTAAAATGTCCTAATAATACTTCTCAGGAAGTATTCAAAAGCATTAATAACTAAGATGATGTAATTAAGATACTGAGTGAGATTTCAGACCTCCTCAATATTTGTATAACTCTTTTCATTGATGTCAAGTATAACATCCCCACAGCCTGAGAGTCTTCAAATAAATGATCACTTCTAAAAAGATCAGTATTTTAGCCTACAGTAATCATTAGTTTAAATAATTTTATAAAAAAATTATTATTCCTTACACCTTTGAATTCTACATAAAAGATGATTAATCAATATCTATTGCATATTTGGGAAAGACCACTGTAATTTCATATGCAGAGTAACTCATTAAAATTCTTTTTCCCGGCTCCAGGAAATGAGTGAAAGAGCTATAGAGATGAAATTCAACCAAATGGCAGAGAAAATTGACAAAATGGAAGAAATACAGAAGATAACCATGGAAGCACATGAAGCAAAACAGACTGAAGAAAAGATAAATATTCGCATTGGCAAACTTCAAAATGAGATTAATGAAGATATAAAAGAAATGAAAGCTGAAGTTAATGCTGGTAGGACCATAGTTATCAAGTTCTTTATTCTGAATTGTGGTAACAATGATCGACCTATAATAATACGCAAAATGCCTTTGCTTGTATCAAAGTAGTTTAAAGTCTTTTGGGCCAGATACAATGGCTGCAACCTGTGGCATTAAAAAGGATTTTCACTAAGTGTGAAATTCACAGCAACGAGAGGTGACATCTTACTAGCTTAGAAGTGCTCTCCCCAGAGCACACATAGGCATAAGCCTGGCTGCGATCGGGGGCATTTTTGCCATCAGCACACAATTACAGTCCTATTTTTCTTCAGAACTTTTGCTATCTTCCTAGCGTAAAGCAGAATGTTATGGTAGGAAGTGCATTCTGATAGTAATTATGCAATACTCTTGCTTTTGATTATGAACTAACCTAATTCTCACCTGCAATTAGGATTTGCAGCTATCTATGAGAGCATTGGGTCTCTACGGCAAGTTCTAGAAGCGAAAATGAAGCTGGACAGAGATGAACTACAGAAGCAGATCCACCAAATGAAGCAGGAGGTTCCAACATGGGGAGAGGCTGGACCATGACTGCAAGATTTTGTCTGAGATTAATGTTTACCTGGCTAAATAGGCAGACTATAATTTTGTTCCAGTCTGTAATCCAAATTAAATGCATGTACCAAATGACACACTGCTGTTGCACAGGTCCGTACGTTTACTTGAAGCAGTAAATGCAAGCTCTTCTTAGATTAACTGACAACAAGCTTTTATGGGCTGAGGCGCTGATTTGCAACTGCACTACTCTAGCTGCTCTCAGGAGATTAACCACCGTGTAAGACTGGAGTAATATATTGGGGAAGCTGGCACCTAATTTGCTTAAGGCATTTCAGTGCTCCCCAGTTTCGTAGGCTTGATCAGGCAGGTACCACCTGCACCACCACCCCACCCCCCCCTTTTTTTTTTTTAAAGTTGATATCATTCATTTAATATCATTTTGGTAAGGTTCTCCACCTTGATACAAATTACTTAATTGAAGTCAATGGACAGTTTTAAGTGACTTTCTCTACTATTTACTTCTGGGGAGACAGAATTGGCACTAAACAGACCAATTTTCAAAACCTAGATACTATCAGAAAATCTTCGTTTAGTTTTGCAAATATCCTCTGTGTGTGCGTAAACTAAGTAGTGTTATATAATGTAGTTGTAGACAAGATGATTCATGAACAACATAAGAAACTTAACTCACGTGGTCTTAAGTATTGTGACCTTTTTAAATTAATAACCAAGTGGAGCTGAGACAAAGAAAAAGATGTATATAGAGTATTTTATAACTGGGCATGTGTTCCTGTGACTTGTTTCATTGTATTGGTAAAAACTTTGAAAGGTTTGAAAAGAGAAGTTGATAATCTAACATAGTCTGGAGAATGTAATGTAAAATAAAATGCAATTTATGATCTGCTTAGAAATTTTTATTGAAGTAAACCAACTGATTCTTCAAATTTAAGTAGACTTTAATAACTTAGTAGATTCAAATTGCTAATTGCATTCACAGATTTCCAAATAATAATAGTGCTTACTTCCACTCCCAGAACAGATTACATAATGAAAATCAGCACCTATACGGCATATTAATCTAGACAGGAAAATATACATATGTTCATTTCATATCTTCATTCATAGCTTGATATTGCTCCTCTTGTTTGTAAGTCATGCAGGATTAAGCACTCATGAAGAATAAAAGACTTCATCTAGTATCCTATTAATTTATACTATTAACAGTAATTCATATACAAAAATACTACTAATTTACACAAGCCTTATGTTAACGTAAATAAATTAATAGGATGTCTCTGCACTGTCTTTAGTGGACCTTTTCTTTGGTCAGTACTGCAAAACCATATTCCTATTTGGAAAAAAATCAGTGGCCAATTTCTCAACACTTCCATGAAAGAAGGTTTGGCCCACAGAGACACCATACTAAAAAGAAAAAAAAATTGCTCCAAAAACTTAAACTCATTAACTTCAGTAGAAATGCATACATCTTTACAGGATTAGCACCTAAATTTATATTCACTTCCTATATAGTTGAAAGTAATTTAATGTATCAAAGATACATGAAGTCTTTGCAACTCTGGCTTCCAATACTCTCTGATAACAAAACTGCCTCTGTTATTCCTGTTTTGTATCATCCATGTGCTGTGAAATATATTTACAATGGCAGCTAAGGAGAAAGCCCAGTTCACTAAAGGGAGATAATGAAACGCTTGCAGATATTTCTTAAGAATTGTCTTAAAACTTTATTCTTTCTTGACATCTGTATTCTTATCTATTCTTAAATATTTAGCCATGTGCAGTGGAAAAGCTATCACTGGTGTTTTATAAAAAAAGAAAAGAACAAAGAAAGAAGCAAAAAGAGATGGAACAAAAACCCAATAATTTTTTTCTTCTGTAATTGGAAATCTGTACCTGAGAGAATCTGGTATGATACGAAGAGCATACAAGGAATCAGAGAAACAACTTATATAGGACTTCAATAAAATGTTTCTCTTGTAAAAATCTTGTGTGATTCATCCAGATATAAAACAACACAAAATCCTATCCAATTTTACTTCTGCTGTTTTGAAAAATATTTTTTCCTAAATCTCAGCTAAAGCAAATAACTAAAAGGCCAAATAAAACAATATTGAAATGCGAGCTACTGACAAGCAGTGCCTTCAAACTATGTAACGTGCTGTGTGGAGGGAGGCACAGGTTACAGGGACTCGTATGCTGGGAAAAGACAGATAGAAACGGTGAGCTAGGCCTAGATGTACACACAGACACACACAAGTGTAGCCTGCCCATCATCCATCCTTTTCACAGAGTGCTCTAACTAGTCACTTGTGAAATGAAGTCACATATTCCAGACCACGAGGGTTCTGCAGAAAAATTGAGGAAAAGCCAGAGTGGAAAAAAGTAATAGGAAGAAAGACTGAAAAATCTGGAGAAGTAACAGAGAAAAAGAGTAAGTCAGAAGAGCGGAGCGATGGAACGGTAGCTCCATGGGCAAAGGCAAGAAAGAATAGCTACCTGCTGATGAAGCACAGAACAGGTTTGAAGATTTTAGAAAGAGCTGAAAGTTACAAACAATAATATATTTGATATAAAACAAAGAATGCACAAGGATGGGCACATTAATCAATTTGTCACAATTCATGCTCCCTACTTGCCTGCTGCATTCTACTCTGCTCGAATGATGGGAAGAATAAATTCTTTCATTTTGTTTTCCCTCCGGTTACTTTCCTTTTTGTTTTTTTTAAGTTTTCTGCACAAAATAGGCAAACAATGTCTTGTCTGCATAGTTTGTCAGGGAGTGCTCATATCTGATAAGTAACAGCTGAGTTCTTCAAGGGAGAATTGGAGTCCCTGTATCTTTCAATCATCTTAAAGTTGTATGGCAAAATCCTCTCCTCAGAAACAGCATGCCCCCAGGGGAATAACTATGAAGCCAGAAGGACAGTATTACAGACACCATGGTCTATGAAAGCTTGATTTTGCAAAGCGGAAACTGATTCTGAAAACTGACCTGCAGATATCCTGTAAAACCAAATAGAAGGAAGTAGCTGTGCTTGAAAGTGAAGCTGTCTCTTTATTTTTCCTTTCCATGTTGTTTTTTTTTGTGCCAGTCCTTCAGGGATACAGAAAGCTTTTGACAGTGGAAGTAATATGCTTTCTTTGTTCGGCGTAAGTACTCATGCTATGAGTCACTACTGGTACCAAACAGGTCTGTCAGAGCCCACAAATGGAAAAAGGTAGTGAGAAGAGGCAGTGTTTTTCTGGATGACACTCAAGCAAACAGAATGAGACTTAGTGTATTTGGGAAAGTATAATACTGAATATGCACAAAATACCGTTTAAAACATGAAGTACACTGACATAACCATAAACTCACTGAAGGAAGGACTGGGAGGAGCCTTGAGAAGCCATCTGCTCCATCTCTCTGCTTCAAGATAGGGCCAACTCTGACAAATATTTTAGGTATAGACACTTATCTAACCTGCTTACAAAAATCTTTCAAGAATAAACCGTTGACTAATGCAGTCTATTCCAATGCTTAAAAGAACACCGCCCCGCCACCCAAACACCTAACCTAAATGGACTCTTGATAGGACAAGACATAATGGGCTTAAATTTCAAGCACAGAGGACACAAAACCTAATTTATTACATTCTTCCCTGCATGTCAATTTTTTAAAGCAATCTGTGTTTTACAGAAGATTCAGATGAAGTTTCACAGGGATCTTTGCCCAATATTTCTTAAACTTTTTTCTCCTTCCTACATCCCTAAAAAAAAAAACCCACGACCAACAAAAACCAATATATATATCAGTGATGTATATAAGCCAATAGCAGACCACTTCCTCTCATGAAGTTTTAAAATCTTTCTTTTGTCAGCTATTTAGCATGCATGAGGCTTAAGCCACCTGCAGTGTGCAGACCACTGTATTCAGTCAGCTATGTTGCCTGAATGACATGGCAAGTGTCAAAGGATAAACTCATTAAAAATTTTTTAACTGGAGTACATGCCATGTACATTAGCATGTGATAACATAGTAGAACTGTAGTACTGTGCAGTGAAGGACTTAACTGGAAACAGAATTATGTCAGTAGTTACAGAGCAATTATGTTATTTAGACTCATTAAGTAAACAAAAGTAATGATGCAAGTAAGAAATTAAAAGGATGGTCCTAACTTCAACATCTAGTTGTTTATGTAGTACAGTTTTATATTGTGGATATTTTGTTACCACATACCGAAATAGTTCATTGGACAGTTTCCACGTTAGAGAAAAACTATATGAAAGATAATGAACAGCAGTGTACTCCTGTAATATCAATTTAAACTGAAATGTAATATTTTCTTTTCTCAATTTCTACATTTCCTGCTGTACATTCTCAAGTATTTAGCCATCACAGTCAGAGAGTGTTCTCTCTCTCTCAGAATTAAAGTGCTCATTAGACATGTATTCCAATAATGGAAACGTCTAATGAGAGACACATGACAAATCGATGAAGCCCTCCTACGTGTAGAGGAGGGATTCCTCCTGTGATATTCCCCATGGTGTAAGAAATTCAGAAGCGAATTTGAAAGAAAACAGTAATGGAAATGCTGTACGAGCCCTCTATTGAATTTGCCACAGGGTGTCACTGTTACTCTTGGCAAGTAAAGGAAGATGCTCTATATCTGTGTGACCCATAAATGCTGCAGTACCACTGAGATGGGTTTGGAAGTATTTAACAATATTATGCATTTTGACAGAAGAAAAAAAAAAAGAACATTCTAAAGACATCACTAAAATCTCAGTAAAGGCAGATGTTTAGTTAAGCAAAATTCTCTGAGGGTGATTGTGATGGTCCTTTAGACAATGTGCAAGGAATGCTGAGTGGGGACCAAAGCTCTCTGCTATCTTTTCTGTCAGCAGAACTTTGGTCAACACAAAGCATAAAAAAAACCCTCCCAAACCCAGAAAAAAATCAGGGGCTGTTCTTCTAAAGTATAAGACCTTAAATCAAGCAAAGCTCAAAGAGCAACATGCATTTCACTTTGATCGTCCCAGGAGCTGCTGCAGACATGCAGAAGAGGTTCCTCTCCCAGCACTGCCTCCCCCTCCAAGACTGACTTTGGCTGAAAGACACAGGATAATCTGAACAGTTATTACCACATGAACCTCTGGGCCTAGCACAAAAAGCTGCTCTCAATCTACGCATGGATTATCTCGATAAATAATACAGTGGAATAGCCTCAAACACTGCAAAATATGTGGGAGAGCTATAACTTTGCTGGCATAGATCAGTGAAAACATGTTTTGAGCTCAG